CCCCAAAACCCCAAAACCCCAAAACCCCATAAAGTTAAGCTAATATTGAGAATTAGATGTTAGGAAGGCTAGGCTACGTCCTCATCCTCTTCCTTTACGATAACTTTCATGTTTTTTGGGATCTTGTTTTTTGCTCGATAGGGTTGTTCCACAACAGCAAATTTCATCTTTTTCTTCGCAACAGCCTGGGAGTGGTGGAATTTACTCATCTTTTCACATAGTTTTTGGAAGTAGTCATTTTTGTGAGTGGCTCTCACTAGTTGAACAATAAATGTTTCTATCTTAACATGTAAGGGAAGGCTACTGTAGTTTTCTCTTCTTGACGATCCAGTTAAGTCTCCTTTATTTTCTCCAATGCCCTCTGGAACTCCATCCATATTTTCAAAAGGAGGTGGGAGGGATAATTTATCTGCTACTCTTCCAATAGCCTCAATGAACTCTACTAATACCATATTAAGATGTTTATCTTTATCTATTTCATCTCTTTGAGTCATCATAGAGAGATTATATCAGATTCCAATTTCTCTTTGTCCAAAGGTATCATCTACAACTCCAGACAGACAGATTAGGTCGAAGAACTCTTCAAAGGACATATATCTTGTGGCTGAGGGCATAGCAAAACGTCCTGAGTGTTTTTCATAAACAGTTTTAACTTGAATGAGGTATCTTTTATATACATAATCTCACTTTTCATTCCAAAGCTGTTCCATCCTCCATTTATTGCTATCAAATTTGGATGTGAATGGTAATATATAGTTGATAAACATTCTCTCGACTGCTTCTACCTGAGTCGGAGACTCTTTAGTTTTGAAAAACTTTGTTAGCCCAATACGAGTAAAGATCTCCATCATTTGGAACCGCACTAAACTTCTCTCGGGGTTTCGAGGATTGCTCTTCTTAGGTCCAGCATTTGTTGAGACGAATTCGAGGTCAATATCAGCTAGCTTAAGAGTTTGGTTATCAATAATACCATCAAAGTGTGAAATTATATCATTAAATGTGTTGTTTCCAATGCAGAATATATTACCCATTGGGGATACAGAAGAGTAATACTTATAAAGTTCCCTCATATGTTTGTAATTCTTCTTGAGATAATTCCGAATCAGCTTAAGCTCATCTGGATTCTTAATGATCCTTGGAATTTTTCACATCTCCCAGTCAAACTCAAAACATTTGTTGAGGAGAGCAGGAGTATCTCTTTTGTATTCTCTGAAGACAGATTTAAAGAAGTCCCAAGGGGTCTTGAGTTTCTCCCTGCCAGGAAGCACTTTAGGAGGGGGCCTAGGAATGCAGCTCATCGATTCAATAAGAGTCTCAGTTATTGGAGAATTAGATATCATAATATTTTCTAAGATATTAGTCTCAGGAACATCCATGAATAACTCTGTAGTACGATTTAGCTTCCCAATCGGCTGGTTTTGAGAAACATAATTTAGGTTCTCTTTAGTAAAATAATAAGACACTTTTCCTGGAGGAACCATTCTTGTTGAGAAGTAAATTCCTGGCTGTTCAGGATCAGGGAGTAGCAAGTCTTTGTCAAACTCATCACTGGATAGTTGAAGATAAATTGGAACATATTGGTCATGTTTTTCAGAGAAAACAAGATCTGGATCGAATTCAAATTTAACCTCTGTCCATCCTTCTCAGATCCATCAATTTGAGGAGGCTTGAAGACTGATAGCTTGAGAATTATGCTTATGACCCCTTTTTAAATTAGGTTTTATCCTTGTATATAAAGTGGCTAAAGCAAAGTCTATATCATCTGTCTTATGTAAGAATCCTAGTGCATCTGTTTTTCCCATATTTCCGAGCATATGAATGCCTAAAATTCAGTGATTGTCAGTCAATCCCTGGTTGATTATTTCAATATCCTTGGAATCAAGGTTTCAATTAGATATATCAACATGAATTAAAGAATAATTTAACTTGAAAGTTTTACTAAGAGCCTTTGCTACAGAATGCTCTCTTCCTAAAGTGCCAATGTTGTTAAAAGAAATATCAAATATTTGTAAACTTTCACTGTCTTGGATTGAGGTTGCAATAGCAAGACCTCCTTCTTCTCTAATTTTATTCCAGTGCATGAATAAGACATTTAATATTTTATTTTCAGTGATCACTTCAGCTACTTTGAAAGCTGATGTGTTAGTGAGATTATTCTTGCTAATGTTCCAATACTTCAGATGCTGGTGATATTTTATTGCCTCACAAAGTAATAAAATTGGCTTATCTCCTGTTGAGTTCCCTTCCATAATTAACTGTCGTAGTTTAGGGTTCTCGACATCAAGATAATCTGCAATTCTTTTATAAGTTTCAATAGTCAGAGTTGGGTTATTAGAAATATCCAGAACTAACAATGTTTTAGGTGCTCTACTAAGTATTTCAAGAAATCCCAAATCACTTAGCCTATTAGCATCAAGGTTCAAGGTTTCTAACTTCACTCTTTGTTTGATTCCAAACGAGAAAGACCTTGCATAACGGTCACCGAACAAGAAGTTACCTGCTTTGACTTCAGTATTGCTACTCTTCCTATTAACCAGGCCAAGTCCTTTAGGGACTTTCTTTTCTTTATCAACTTCAAGCAGGAAGTCAAGGAGAGGAGACTTCTTCTTTTCTGCTTCTTTCTTATCCTTCTCTTCTTCTGCAACCTTCTGCTCTAATGTATACATCTTGTTGTATTTGTAACCGTAATTATCAAGTGCATCAATTCCTTCCAGGTCTTCTTCATTATACTTCTTGCCATCCTCTTCTTGGTCATAAGCAGAAGTGAACCTGAGGTCTGGGTTCTTCTGCAGCCGCTCGAAGTAAGGAGGCCTCTGGAAATCATATGTATTCTTCTTATCATAAACAGTGACGTTACGATCCTCCATTTCTTTGGTAGTGAAGTCATCAAACTTTTCGTTATAATCTGGATGTAGCTTCTTATTTTAGGTACAAGTTCTGTTTTGTTATCTTCTCTCTGAATTGCTTCATGGTCTCTTGGTTCAAGTGGTTCTTAGGCAGCTTGTCCCTCTGTCGCTTTAAGACAGCTGCTTCCCATACTGGAGGACCTGAGTAGTGCAAGGATAGCCATTTCACTTCTTTGTCCTTGTTCTGCTTTTGTGAGGAGCTTAACCTGCTTTTTGGATGCTTTATGGATTTCAAAATTTTATGAGAAATTTCTCCTTTATTTTGGCTTAAAAGTTCCACTTGAGTTAATTAATGAATAATTAGAATCTGAAATATCTACTGAATTGTTTAGGCGTGGGAGGTGAAGTTTTATCTCTGATTTATTTCTCTCTTCTAGATTTAACGTTAAATGTGAATACACCAATGAATCATTCCTCAATGTTCCATAAGACTTTAATGAAGAGTTTTAGTATACTTACTATTCATTGGATCTCCATAATCAAATTGTGCATTTTGAGACGATCTTCTTGGAAGAACATTTCTCTTCTTCTTTTTCTTAGTCTTACTGAGCTTGAATACAATTCTGGTCAATGAACTTCGTCTTATAAGTTTCCGTTTTGGCATTTATTATTCAATAATAAAATATTTTAAAGGGGTTTTGGGGTTTTGGGGTTTTGGGGTTTTGGGG